TGGTCAGAGTGGCAAGGCCTGGTGAATGCAGGCATCACTACTGAGACAGCTTCTGCACCTCAGTAAACAGAAACCCAAAACAAGGCTGTAAGAAAGGCAATGGTAGGACACTGATGAAAGGCAGGATGAGGTCACGTTTGTTTTATGTAGGGTAAATCGGCTTTAGCACGTACTGGTAAAGATCTGCTTCCGGTAACAACAACTCTGCCTTGATGACTGTGCTGTCACTTTGCCAGTTTACGGCCTTCTCATCTAACAGAAAGTTAACAGGGAACTAAAAAAAAGCCCACAGACTTGAATGTCTCCTGCTGTCCCTTTGAATGAAGTAGGTAAATGAAGTAGTAGCTCAATGAAGTAGGAAGCTGATCTTGGAGGGCAATCTCCTTAGAGGAGTAGAGGCTAAAAGTGGAAAAATCCCTGAGGTCTCACATTTTGCTTGCTGTATTTTGGGCAGAGAGCAAATGCATCTGTGTTTTTCAAACTCGTAATGTGCAGGTGGGTCTGTCCCTCTGCCTAGGGACACTCAGTGCTAGGCAGTGAGGCAGCTAGTGAAGGCAGCTCTTCTGCTTTACTGTACAAAGGGTAGAAGGTACAGATACTCTCTTTCAAAAACACTATGTTGCTGCTGAATATTTCCGAAGTGGTTTTGGGGGTGATGGGTAATATTGAATCCTTCCTCATAGCAGCATGCGTGAAGAGGTAGAAAACGGTGAACTGCCTTCTGACTGTCCTGAGAGAAAAGCTTCTTTTTCCTTGGTGTAAACATGTGTAGCCACATAGATACTTACTAATATCTGAGGAGGATTCATTATAATTGACTTTAATCCTTCCTGCACAAGAGCAGAAAGGTTAATTGTCTGGTGACAAGCATTCATCTGGTCCACAGACTGTTCAAAGGAATAGGAGGATCAGGCAGAGTGAGAAGATGGGATAATCTTTTCCAGGGCTGTTGTTCTTGGTCTGTATATTACAGCCAATGATAAGGGTTAGGTTGTGCTAAGCGGCACATAGAAACAACTGAAAGAGTTGTCTTTCTCTCTCCCCCATCCCTGAAGCAGATACAACTGGGAAAGTCTCAAGTGGGGTGTCTTTGTTATAGCTGTGCTGGTAAGGATAGCCTGGAAAATAAAGCATTTTTGCCCAGAGTGCAGACCTCTTTGTGAGCTCCTTTAAGTTCCCATTTGGAGACGGGGGAAAAACTCAAAGCATAGAAGTAAATCTCCACCTCCTTTGGAGGGTAATAATAGACAGGCTACTTCACGGGAGGTTCCTTTCTATGCTGTTACTGAGTAACCTCTTGGGACCTTAATCTCAGGAAAGCCTAAGCTGGTCTGCCTTCCAGCCTTAAGAGCACATGCTTTGTAAGGAATGTGTTAGGCATCAGGTAGATATTTCCAAGGAATTGATTATATTAGGCTAATTAGACTATAGTCAGCAAGCATAAGGTGGGGAATGGCCCCACCTTTGGGCTGTTCTGTGCGTTTTGTGACTGAACATTGATGTTTTGCCTATGTTTGCCTGCTTCTGCATTGCTCCAAACATCTGAATTACTCTTTTGAGACAGAGTTGTTGACATGCTCTCCTACAGTGAACTCTTTTGGGGAGACACCTTTCTTCAACAGGGGTAGGGGGAACACTGCTAATTTTAAGGCAATCATTATTAGAAAACAGTAATTAGCCTGAGGAAGGTAGTCAATATCAGAGGTAGTCAACCTCATGTCTGAGGCTCTTCTAGAAATTAAGTGAATGGTCTGAAATGTTCCAGAATGCAAAACTCTTAAACTGTTTTCTGAAGGTGGTCACAAAAGTCTGTCTCGGGTTAGAGGAAGAAACTGTTTTGTGAATTCCTTTTCAGAAAGGAAAATGTTTTGCTATTACTGTTTAAATTCTGGAGCATTGCAGACTTAACTAACTGATGAACACTTATTTGGGTAAAAATTGGTAAGTATTCCATCCTGTGCCCTTCAAATCAGATTACCTCCCTATCGGCTGGCCCCCTAGCTAGCTAATTACCGTTGTATTCTTGATTGTAATTGGTGTGTTTGATGGTAGAGCACTCTGCTCTGTGAGATTGCCTTTATCGCTACTGTTGTGCTTTGTCTCGCTGTAACAGCCCTGCTCCAGTGTTGCCACTTAAAGGAGCTTCTTAAATTAATGTGAATTAATGTAGTCTTAGAAAATAATCATCTCTTAGCTTTACAAATCCCTTCTTATTAGGAGTGCCAGGAGTATCTAAAGGCTTAGACTAGAACAGAGCCCTGCCGTGTCAAGCCCAACATACAATTCTATTCGGCAGGCGCTCTTTGCTATGTTTACAGTCTAAATGCTTAAAACCAAAAATAAGAAGGAAAATAGATACCCTATAATTAAGGGACTTGCCCAAGGTCACAGAGCGCAGGCATAGCTGCTGGCAGAGTGTCCTGATTCGCTAGCGTCCAGTGTTCTAGTCAAACCTATGGAAGCTGTGAAGCAGCCTGCCATACAGACACTGAACCCAGCTTGAAAGGTTTGATAGTAAACAGGTGTATACGGACGCTTGTCTGATTATCCTCTGGATATATAATATTAACTCCCTCTCAAGTTACACAGAGAATATGATGCATGATTATTTGCTAGAAGGTTTAAAGGTGTATCTGAATATCTGAGAAGTAAAGAGGGGAACACTCGTAACTCCACTGAGCAGTGAGATACAATAAACTTGCTGGAGAGACAACAGGATATTGATTTTGTTTACAAATGTTGTAAATCATCTGGCTGGTAGGTTTTGCTTGACTCACTTAATGTCCCAAAACTCTTCTCTCATCTAATTACAGGTATTCTATGTTTGTTGAAGATGGGAAGGAAGCCTGTTGGCCCAGAGATGTAGGGGAAGCTCCGTTGCATTTGCGGAATAAAAAAAATCATCAAGGCAATGTTACTTGTTCCTGCACCTCTAGCAGGAAGGTAGGGCTCCTGCTACTCTTGTACCAAGCAGGAAATAGGGTAAGTCCAAAAAAATCAGTTCTGGTGTAGCTATGCCCTCCTGTTTCCATCAAAACTAATCCCCAATGACAGACACCCTATACCATCCCTTAGCCAGCTTTTCTCAGTCATGACTTACACTACTCAAGACAACTTTTAAAGGCAAACTACACTAGGAGGAGCTCTTTCTCCATTTAATCTCCTCTCTCCTTGCTCACCTAGCTATTCTCTAAAGCTCTGAGTTGCTTTTGTATTGGCTGCTTCCTGCAGCTCCCACTCCTTAAATCCTCTGTACTTCTTTGGGATGCTAAGCTCCTTTCAGTGTACGAATTAAGCACTAGTTCCAGTGAGTCTTTCTGATAGTATAGTTATTGGATTTTTCATGATAATAAGCTTCTTGCTGCTCCATCTTTCTTGCTATGCCTCTCATGTTTGCTAGTTTGGAAGAGTGGCTACAGTGTTTTTATGTTTCACAGTTTCACTGTAATATTTCTTTTTGAATATAAATAAAAAAAAAGCCATGCAGTTCACACTATGGAAACCTTTATTAAATATCCCAGATAATGTTGGCCCATTTTTTTCTTCTGTTAGGTTAATTTCTAGGACCATAAAGATTATGCAGACAACAGAAGTGCCTTCTAGCAGAAGCTAGAGTGAATTAGAAAATTCACACTACAGTCATCAATGAAGTCATATAAGTCTCACGTTTGATGTCTAATTCTCTCTGTTACATTGTTGTTACTGAATCAAAGTCAGGCGTTATTGACAGAGCTGGCAGCAGACCAGAAATTTGTGAGCCCAATATTTGAAGATGAGAATCAGAATCTGAATGTTCTTTACTCACAAGTTAATATAACACTTTTGTATTCACCTACCAACTGTAAACATTTCTAGGATAAATGCAGAAGTAATCCTTCTGCAACAATTAGTAGGCAAATTTTTAAAAAGAAGAAAACAAGGACTAGTTTGGCAATTGAACCTCAAAGGGAACTGAGCACTGTAAATAGAAGGGGGCCGCTGAAGTGGATTTGAACGGGGAATGTCCTAGAGCGTTTGCTAGGCCTATCGCATCTGAAGTGCCCTGAGCAGAAGGTGCCGATATCCTGAATGTCTGGTATTTCTCGTCAGGGATGCGAACCCTCTTCCCAGCACTTAAAACTTTAAAACGGGCCTGGCAGGAGATCCGCCACCCCTAGGGCATTTCTTGGAGGACGCAGCGGTAGGGAGGCTGCGTGGCTGTGGCTCCTTCGACTCCTATTTCCAGAGAACTGGGTGCTCAGAGCAGCTAGGGGCTGGTGCTCTTTGGAGTGAAAGGTCTCATCTCTTCAGACCGCAACTATGAAGCTCCGTAATCATCCAAACTGCCTTGCCTTGACCCTTTTTCTTAACTTATTTGGGTGAGCCTGAATTCCCACTAAGTTCCTGCTTGACCTGGCGGTTTCCTCAGAAATGGATCGAAATAAAGTGCCTATCTTTGCTCCTACTGCCAGGAACGTGACTGTTCGTGTACAGGCCGCTCTGCCTGAAGTTCCTCTCCTTCTCCGTGAGGGAACACGTTTTGGCACTACAGAGTGGAAACCCGCTAGCAGCGCTACACAGCGACGCCGCCG